TCATTGACAATCAAGCTTGTGTTTGTCTTCTGCAGCAATAAAAGGTATATGTTAGACAACTCTATACCCTCATAAAAACTGAAAGAAACAAAGTGGATTGGAGGAAAATTTGGTATGATAACCCTGATAGGTCGAGGACTCTTTTCATGCTTTGCCTAGCTTGTAATGAGAGGATGGCCACAAAGGATAGACTTCACAAGATTGGTTTAATTAAGGATACCAGTTGTTCAATATGCAGTGAGGAAGAATATTTGGATCACCTGATGTTTACCTGCAGTACTACTCAGGAAATTTGGAGTCAAGTTATCCAATGGTTACATATTGATCACAAGCCTCAAAGATGGGAGGAGGAGCTTCCGTGGATGTTGAGATTTAGTAAAGGGAAAAATTAGAAATCCAAAATTTTGAAGTGTGCTTTTGCTGAGACGGCTTATGAAGTGTGGAGACTTAGGAACTAACATTGTTTTGGAGGGGGGAATGACAATGAAAATGTAGTTCAAAAGATATTAACTGCATTGTTTATAGGTGATGGGCTAGGCCTAAGCTTAGAAATCATATTAGTCATCTTATGTTGCCTTAAGTGTTTAGTTGTCTTTGTTGTCCTTGGTTTTGGCTGGCCGGATCTTAGATTGTCTTTGCTTTGTATTGTTTTTTTGGAATTTAATATAAAATTTTTTTTCTTCAAATTAATAATAATAATAATAATAATAATTTTAGATTCAATATATTAATATTTAAGTAATTTTGATAATTATTAACGGATACAATATTTATAGGTATGAATATCCATATTTATTTACTAACAAATAATTAAATATCACTTAATTTTATTTATAAATATTCAATAAATTTTTTATTTTCTACTCGTGACCGATTTTATTTTGGATATTCTTTTGTGAGAATTTTTTTGTCCTCCTTAATGGCAGACTTCATCCAACTCAAAATATGACAAGGTGAATTTCACTTCTACGTAGGAGTGTGTATGGATTATAAACCAAACCAAACCATATATATGGTTTGGTTTGGATCTTAAAACCGGTTTATTTTTTTAAAACCGATTTACAAGTGGATCGGTTTGATTTCAAATCGATTTTTAAAGAAAAAAATAGTTTTTTTACAAACCAGTTTTAAACCTGTTTCTCTCAAAACCAATTTTTTTATTTTTTTTAAGAAATCAATTTTAAAATCAATTTTATAAAAAAAACCAGTTTTAAAACTATTTTAAAAAAATCAATTTTATTATTAATTACCCATGTGCACATAATGTTGAATGTAGATGCATTACTCGATACAGATCAATTGGGCTAAGTTTATTATCTATTTAGAATTAAATGTGAAAATACTTTAAAATTTCGTTAAAAAAATTTGAAAATAAAAGCATGTTTAATAATTTTCAACTTAAAACTAAACTACTTTTTAAATAATTGGTGAAGTATACTATATCAAGTCTCAAATATATGGCTTTTTTTTAAAGATTTCTAACAGCATCCCAATAGAAGTGTTTTACATGCTAAGCAATTGTCCAAATAGCTTTCTCTCATTTTGTATGCGCATATATGATTCAACTTTGTTAAAGAAAATATAAATTTATCTATAGTAGATAACAAGTCTGTTATTGAATTTTCTTTTTCTACTGCTCTTGTTATAAGTGCTCCTATTGACTTTCAAGTCGAACACAGCAGGAAAAAAAATACTTTCTATTGCTTCTGAAAAATATTTCTGCTTACTGGTCCAATCATCGACTTGAAAGTAAATTTTCTGTTAGCCATTATCTATGATGAGTTAAAAAATAGATCGAACAACAGCAGAAGAAAAAAAAATTACTTTCTATTGCTTCTGAAAAATATTTCTGCTTACTGGTCCAATCATCGACTTGAAAGTAAATTTTCTTTGTTAGCCATTATCTATGATGAGTTAAAAAATAGATCGAACAACTAATATAATGAAAATAGATCGAACATCTGTTATGCAAGCATAACAACTGAGAGTTTAAAATTATAACAGTATACTATTTCGATAAACCCATGATTGTGATTTAGAGAATTAAGATACAAATGAAATTAAGGTTTGAAATTTAAAGAATAATGAAGAAGAAAGAGATGAATAAAATTTGGATTTTGAGAATTAGGGTTTTGAAATTTGTGTTGATCTTGATTTTTCCAAACTATTAATTGAAAAATGGTTACCGAATCTCAATCCGGTTTGAAACAAATGGTTACCGGTTATTTTTTAATTTGATAAATTGGTCACCAAATTTAAAATATAAATTTGGTTTGAATTTTAAAATTTAAATTAATTTAGATAAGAATTTGATTTATGGTTATTGATTATTTTGCACACCCTTACTTCTACTAACTCTTTTTATTTATAGAATCTTATGTATATTTATAAACACAATCTGCCAACGAAGGACTAAAAAATGTTTAAAAATAGTATATGTTTGTAATCTATGCATTGTCAAATTTAATTTTTGTTAAACATTAGAAATATATAAAATTAAATTAATAATAATTATTATTATAAGAATTGATTCATATTAAAAATTATAAATAAATATATAAATAAATAAAATCTAATAGATCTTTATGCTTTTTCTCACTTGTCCTAACTATTTTATTAAAAAGTAACATTTCTACTTGCCCAAAAAAATAACATTTCTATAATTTAGTTACAATTTTTTCACTACTCACATACTAAAAAGAATTATTAATTATTTTATAGTATGAAATTATGATTATTAAATTATTTTTTATAAACTATCCTATAACATATTTTATTGAAATTAAAACTAATATATTTATGTATTACCAATTCGAATTTAGTCCAACCACAACTAAACTTTTAAACTTTGAATCAAATGTCTAATCTGATTACCTTAAACTTTTGAGTTTATCAAAATCTTATAAATACTGTAACTTTTGATCAATTTATATACTAGATATATTGATCATTCAATAAATCTAAAAAGTAAATTATCTTCTATAAAAAGAAACAGAGATAGTATATTTTTTTGTCTTAAATTATAAAAAAATTAACTTTTATAAAATTAATATATTAAATTTATTAGCTATTGTTATTAATAATCCATCAAATTTGATTTTACATATGTCATACTTAATTTATATACATATGTCATACTTAATTTTCATCTTTAATAATCAATCATCTTTTATATATATATATATATATATATATATATATATATATATATATATATATATATATATATATATATATATATATATATATATATATATATATATATATATATATATATATATATATATATATATATATATATTAAAAGGGAGAGAGTATTTAATATAGAAGTTTTCAACTAGTAGAGTAATATATAACTTTAAAATGAGTTGAATTTAGTGACACTATTTTTTAATTTATTTTTGTCAGTGTCTATTATAATAATTTCACCATTAAAGTCAATATATGAAAGGTAGCTCTTCTGGCCTGGGCCCCGGACTGACCACGCGGGCTCAGTCCAATAATGGGTCATCAGACCCTATTTTGTCCGGACACGAGGTCTTCGACAAGCCAGAGAGGCCTCCCCGCGGGAAGACCTACCCCCACGTCGGGCTGAAGGCCCTGCAGGGAAGGCCCACCCCCACGCCAGGCTGAAGGCTCCCCGTTCAGCGGACATTGTCCTTCGCGGGTAGGACCCTCTCCCTCCACGGGGAGAGCAACGCGCCCCGTGCACGTTCTCCACGTGCTCCCCTCCGCGGGAACACGTCACCAACCAATTGCCCCTCTCCGAAAGAGCAGGTCAAACCCACCTTCCGGAGGCCACGAGACAGTTGGACTAGGGCGAAGACCACGTCCTGGTCTTCACTACGCCACGTAAGCCCTAACAGTCACCTGGGTTGGGCCTGACAATCCAGCCCAACGCAAGTGACCGTTGGCCCAGCGCTGGGGTCTCTCTATAAATACCCTCTTCCTCAAGAGGGTCAGGTAATTCATTTCTTACCCCATTTCGGTACTTCGCTCTCACTCTGCCCAATTCCTTACTTTGGCATCGGAGTGTCTTGCAGGTACACCCCCCTTCTCCTCCTCATCACAAGTGAACAAGTAGCAGTCCAACAGAGTGTGGACAACCCGTAATCCCCTTCTGATCAGGTCAGATCAGTAGCATATTCAGATCCATATTCCTCTACTCTTTTATTATTATTAAATATAATTTAACTCAATTATCAGTAAAAAAAATTCAATATTTGGACTAGTTAATTTAAAGCCAAACCCTATTCTTTGTTTATAAAATTATGATTATTAAATTATTTTTTTATAAACCTATTAGGACATTGGAAACCAAGCCTACTCCAATTCATAATACCCATTTTCAAGTGAAATTATTTACCATGGTACTAAACCTGTTTGGTACTGCATCACGTTGAGGAAAATTGTATCAAAAATCCATTTTAGCACTTGATGATGTTCCAAATATATCTCATTTTGTTAAATAATTTCACACACGGGGCAGTTTGAGGGGTGCGTGATTATAGGTTTTATTGCCATGTCTAGTTCTACAGACTGAGTAGTGTTGCTGGAGTATGGGTGGGAGACATAAGGTGGAGAAGGGTAATATTTGTTTTGTTTGAGAATGTGCACTATTGTGTAGTTGTCTACTACGTTGTCTTCTGCTTCTCAATCATCCCACCCCATGAATATATAGTGTTAGCAGGGTGACATATATAGGCTCAACAAAGGTTTAACATGTTTTGTTGTTGAAAAAAGATTGTTAATCTGATCTGTTTGGACTTATTGGTAACATCAAACAAATACTGTAGCAGAATGTCTTCACCAGACTGAAGAAAATAGAAAATGAAACAATACAATTCCTATCGAATGACATGTATGCTAGCACTAACATTATTATACTCAGCCCCTTATTGGTGGCTTGCAGAGTTCAGTGTTGCCGTTTACTGACATAATAATTTATTTTTTCCCCAAAACTCAATCATGTAGAATGAAGTAGGAGGAGCACAACCAATTCAGTTGTCACCATAAATCCACTTCTCTGAATTGCTAGTGAAACTAACCAATTCCTCTGGCTTGAACCACAACTTAATCTCATCCTTTGCTGTCTCTGGAGCATCGCTGCCGTGGATGATATTTCTGCAACAATAACATTATAAGATGACCAAATATCTAGAGATAAAAAAAACTAGCATGTTTATTTATAAAACTATGAGTTAAATTTTTAATATAATATGGAGGGAGTAGGATTACCTTCCAACAACAACAGCCAGATCACCCCTAATGGTTCCAGGTGCTGATTTCTGTGGATCTGTGGCTCCAATTAGTTTACGGCCGTAGGTAATAACTCCCTCTCCTTCCCATACCTATGACATCAATTTTTGGAAAACATTAAACACAGATTAGAAGCATAAAGACTGCTTGTTTGGTTGATTCACAAGGTTTATAGTGGCTGAATCATTTCTAACCATTGCAATAACAGGGCCAGAGCTCAGGAAGTCGCACAATCCATTGAAGAAGGGTCTTTCTTTCAGATCGTGATAATGCTTTTGGGCAAATTCCTTTGTAGGAATCAATACTTTAATTCCCACAAGCTTGAACCCTTTCCTCTCGAAACGAGATATAATCTCTGAAATCTGCAACAAAAAAATAAACTTGTAACAATCTAAATTTTCTTCTCTGGCGAGTAGAAGAAGTTGCATTGCCCTATGTAGCACGGATGAAAAGTGTCCAGTGTCTTACAGCGACACGATACCGCTCACTTGGTTACATTCAATCACTTTCACTGTATTAAATAATTACTGATGTCTATATGTCAGTATCGTGTTCGTGTCGGTGTTTCATAGGCATTGCATCTAACGCACTGTTTGACAAACAAATAATGAAGACACGTAAGAAATGTAGTAGTTTTCACTTACCAGCCCTCTTTGCACTCCGTCAGGCTTAATGGCAATGAAAGTGCGCTCCAGCTGAATAAGAAAAGTTAAACACATAAATTGAATTAGTCATACCAAAAAACAACGATAAAAAGAACAATGACATGAGTCTAGATAGACATGCAGATCTATAAAGACAAGTTATGTATACCTCGGCAGCATGCACCTCCTGATCTTGGAGCATGTAAGCTACAAGAAATAACAAAGAATAAATAGAATTATTAAAGGCTTACTATTGTAATAGGCTGAACATATAGTGTCTTTTTTCAATTTAGTAACACAGATTGACCCTTCCTAATGTTACACAGTATAAATAGGCTGAACATACATGTCTCTCCAATTGTGTAAAAATTAAAGGTAATGTCATTTAAATAGAACTAAGAAGAAGTATGCAATATTCTCAACAAATAAGGATGATTAGGATTTATATTAAAAAAATATATAAGGGTGTGTACTATTTAGAAGAGGTAAGTCCAATTTCCCTTTTTATACTGTGTAACATTAGGAAGCAACCGACAGATTCAAAACATAAAAGTGATAAAGTAAACCGTTGAGAATTTGTTCAAAACTTTACAATTAACTAGTAAATAAATGCAAACATGTAAGAGAATAGGTATCCAAGATGAAAGGTAAACAATATACTCAAAAAGAAAAATACCAACACCAAAAAGTAAAAATTGAAAAAACAATATTGGATTTAACTAATTTAGAGGCTAGATTGAAGATTAAAAATGGATTAATGTCAAGATGCAGGGGAGGGGTATCAATTGGAAGTAATAAAGTCTATATACTAGATCCAAAACCATAATTCTATTCCCCTTTGGCAGAGTAAAGTGCAATTGATATAGAAGAGATCTCGAAAGCTACAATGCTAAATTAAGCAAGGTACAAGGCTCCTCTCCTTTTTTCTAAAAGACACAAATCATCCATGTTTTCTTGTAACCCAAATCAGCATATTATTTTAATTTTACATTACAAATATATGACCACACATTCACAAATATCCACACGATTATGCCGTCAGCACATTTGTGACACTTCAAATGAGATTGAAGTAAGTGCAGAAAGTGAGAAAACAAACAAATTTTGTTTTTATTACTCCTTCCGATTAATTAAATAATCAACGTATCTGGTCCATATATAGTTCAGATACATTAATTATTCAAATTTTAATTCAAACAAGAGGTAACGAGCAAAAATCCAAATCTGTAGTTTTCAAAGTGATACACATGATAAGATCTGATATCAATTGATAGGAAAATATAATATAATATGTAATACAAAATAATAATCCATACAAAATCAGTAAAATTGTCAAGACAGATAATTGAACCGAACCGAACCTGCAGCAGGAAGAGCTAGTGCTCCTGCAATCCAGGAAGTAGATCCATTTCCAGAACCAGTTCTCCTGTAATTTGAAGCAAAAACCGGAACATTTCTAATGGATGCAACAGCTGCAGCCGCCGCTAAGGCGCGTCCTTCTACAAACACAATACATCTCAGATTCACGATAACAAAATCTCAACACATTTTAAAACTCCAATAATAATAATAATAAAATTGAGAATCAATATGAATCAAACGCATGAGAGAATGAGAAATGAAACTTACGGGAGTGGAAAGAAGCGGAGAGAAGAGACCTAGCGGCTCTGGAAGCGGATTTGCAGAGATGTGAGGCCATGTTCGTCGTCGACTACAGATTGATGAGTCGATGGCAGAATGTGTGAATGAGTGATGCTGGGCTCTCTTCTCTTCTCACTCGCCTTTTATTCTTATTCTTTTTTGCAATTACGTCCTTTTTTTTCGGTATTTTTGATTTTTGACATCTTCAAATTATGTATTTGCAAACTGAGATATTTACATTATTTTAACAAGAACTGAGATGTTGATGTGAATGGGACATTCATTGTTTTTTTATTGATAAAAAAGTTATCATCGCAAATCTTAATCGTGTTCATACTTCATAATATTATTAAAACTAATTAGTGTGATAGTTGACATTATAGGAGATTAGATGCCTAAGTTTGTTAAATGTTAGATCTAGATTTTTTGATATAGGTATTTAGGACATCCACCTTCCTTACACTCACTGGAGTTTTTTAAATGAAATTATACTACACACTTCTCAATTATATAAACTTTTTATTTATATTTCTTTAATATTCATACAATTAATCAAATACTCTAAAATAGAATCCATTAAATACCATACTATATCTTACATTTTATTATATATAATTTTAATTCAACTTTAACGACAAATTTAAGAACTATCAAATTTTTTAAATATTTATCAACTTCTCACAAAATGACATGACTTTAATTTATGTGAAAACCGATGACATGATACCGATATTTATACTTTTAACATATTATATATTTGTGTACATATTTTTTTTATGATTTTTTATTTATTTTATCTATATTTATTTTATAAAATGCACACAAAAAAAGTAATGTGGTTTTTCTACCACATAAGTAAAATTTCTAAATATTTGTCATTTTGAACTCAAATTTATGGAGGCTGTGTTAATTTTACTTTTTTTAATAGAATCATTGCAATTATGTGTAGAAAATATCTAATTTAAAAAAAAATATTTATGAAAATAAATATACAATACACAATTATATTAAAATTATATAACTCGGAAATTTGAAAAATTAAAGTGAAGAAAAAAAAATCATAAATATTTTTTGAGAATATTTTTTGAGAGTATATTTTATAAGAAATTATGGGTTCATTTGTTTTATATTTTTTTAATTAATTTTTATAGTGTTACATATCTTTATTTAAAAACTTTACATAAAATTTTTATAAAAAATTTAGTTTAAATTAATATTGTTAAAATTTTATTTTAGATATTTAATCATTTTATTGAAAAAAAATTGGATATCAAAATTTTAAAAAATCATTTAACTTTGATTCAACTTCAAATAGATTTTTTTTAAATCATTTTTGAAATATAATTTTTTGAAAATTTTGCAATTTCGACTATGTTTTAATTTTCAATAATACAGGTTTATGATATAAGATGTCAAAATTAATTTTTCAATTTTGATAAATATAAAAAAAATTATAATATTTTTAAAAACATTTTCATAAAATTTATTGTTAAAAATACAAAAAAAAAACATTTTATAAAGCTAAAGAAACAGACCATATTACTAAATTGAAATGTTTATTTACATTCTCTAAAGTATTCTAAAAGTATTCTTCAATATGATGTAAGGGTTCCTCATTTTAATTGGACTTTGTACTATGATAAACAAATTCTCTCATTTAAATTGTTAGACTAATATTTCTTCCATTTATTTGTCCTCATCCATTTACTCAAAGCCATTTAATACCAATAGAACTTCAAAATAAAAGAGGGATTAAGTTCAAAGTCACTTTAGACACAATTATAAACAATGAACCTGTTATGCTCTCGGTCTCAACATCAATCTTAATGGAACTAATTAAATGGTAATCTTTCTCAATTCTATAGCAACTAGTACTATCTTCCTCCATAAGCAAATCTAAAAGAGGAAAGCACATGTTTGGACGTGCAACACAAGCTACAATGATGCTCTCAGCATTGTTTGTTAGGGTAGTTAAAAAGTGTTGTATTTTCTGTCGTCTATTTTTGTGGGCACAAAATTTACACGTGTTTCAAAACCTTATATATTTGAATATTTCCACTCCAATAGATGCAAGAGTTCAATTTGGGCTTTTGAGTTTGTACATGATTGACTTTATATCTTTCTATTGTACTATCTTTTTTTTATAGAAAATATTGCATTAAAATAGAGTATAAAGTACTCAATCCTAATACAAATTCAACTAAAACAATTAATTGGATTTAAAAACAAATTCCTCGATTTAGTCCTAAACTAGTCTTAAGAGAAAGATTGCATGATATCCAACACACCTTTGCACTCACCGTTAAAACTAATATCGTTTCTAATTAATCATATTGCTTGAACTGTAGTCGTCAAAAACAAAAGCTTGAAAAGCTTCACAATCTTGCACTTCACATTTAAAACATAAAATTTCAAAAAAATTGTTAAGGAAGATCCAATGAAACTTCTGGTAATGTCAATCTGAATTTGAGATTTAGCCGCCATTAGAAAAAAAAAATGAAGAGATGACCATGAGATTCAACCGGACTTAAGCACTGGGGACATACTAAACTATGCGATTAATTAATGATGCCATACTTTGCAAGCTCATCTCGTGTGTGTAGTATGTTAATAAGCATTTTCCATGTGAATATTTGAATGTTGTTAGGAACATTCGAACTCCACATACACTTCAAAGCAAAAGATAAATCCAAGAACCCATCGAAATCACGCCATCACACGAATAAATCTCAGCTTGACTAAATGGGTTCGACATCTTCTAAGATATGGAACAGATATTCTTCTTTGCCAATTGCAAAATTTGAACTAATGAGAATTTCATAATTGAAGCTTAAGTTCCAACGCCAAGTATCATTTACCCATTGTCCAACATTGCAAGTTTTAATTATGTCCACCTGCACACAATCATACAGAGCTAGAAAAAGCAATTTCAAATGTTCTTTTCCCAACCATGAATTACTCCAAAAATCAATATTTGAATCGCAACCTAATTTGCAAGAAATGTTGCTTTTAAACCAGTTCAGATCCCCCCCTAAGCACCAAGAGAGATTATTAGGTCCTTCTGTAACACCCTATGTCTGACTATAAACAACCATACATAACAACAACACAATAATGATTACAGTCTCACATCTGACTGTAAACAATCATGCATCTCAACGCATAAATTGTAGTTCTCACTCCAAACTACACATCTTAACAATCATCAGCAAGTATTTACAACAATTCACATAATTATATTTTCACTTCACATCATACATTCACACAACGAATAAACATCACAACACTCAATCACAACAATTCATATTATCATTGCTTCATCATTAATTAATTCATTCACATTATCTAAGGGCAAAATTTTCGGTTATCTGTATTTAAATTCCTTTCACCATGATTTCTCGAGCCTACGTCGCTCAAATCATCCGGTGAAGATATTTAAATAGGGGCAACTGTCATACCCCGAATTTTACCCTTAGATTATTAGGTTCATTTCGCATTTCATTTCACTCTGCATTGCGTTTTAACTAACCACTAACCGGTTTGCTCAGTCTGTTGATTTTGCAGGAAAATAACATTGTGTGCGCTTTAATTTATGAAGGGCAAAAGGGTTATTATGTTACAGTATGTTGACGAGTATGAATCGATTCTAGTTGCAATGGCAAGTTATTCAAGACACAGTCTGGATTTTAAATGCGGAGTAAAGTGCGTTTTGCCGCTAAAATGGATTTCTCTGCTTTATTTGTTCAAGGTCGTATTCACCAATTTTATTATCAAGTGCGAATTAATTCTCAATGGGTCCGGTTGAATTCAAAATTTGTGTTGGATGCAATGTATTTTCAAGTATTGAGCAAAGTCGTTAATTGCCGAATTCGGGTTATGAAACGCCGAGTTTATTCGAAAGAAATACGAAATGAATTTTGATTCGGAAATTAAGAATTCATTTTATTGAATTTCTTTATTATAATTTGCATTTGAGAAAATTACAAAGAACTCCTAAGTTTCCTAAAGTTCCTAACTTTTTCTAAGAGTTCTTCATGCCGATCTTCAATCTTCGATCTTCGAACCTGCAAAACCGACTCCACTTTTCGACCTCGGCAAATCCGGCAAGTCATAAAAAAATATCCAGCAAGCCAAACGGATCCAAAATTAATCTGGATGTCCAAATCATAAAAATCCAACGGTTCAAAAATATGGATATCCAACTAGCCAAAACCATATCCACAAATCCAACAACCAAATCCTCATAAGTAGGAAGAATAATAACAATTCCGCAAATTCCTCTGTTTCAAAACAGCATCAAAACAGAAATTGTCGCACCCTAATTTTTGACTTTAAGATCCCGCCTCCTTGTGCTTATTTTTCTTGTTTGTTTTATTTCACTTTTATATGTGTTTATCGCAGCTAACCCACTTGTGTGAGTACATGTGTTTGCATAAGCTCTCATAATCGCGCACTTGGCTCCTAAAGGAAAATTAGAGTTCTCGTCCGTTGATATTGGGTATGGACTGGTTATGGAGTTCATGGTACTTAAAAAGGAGTGAAGCTCTCACATGCTGAGGAATTTAAACTTCTAAGTCAAGGGTGTTCAAGGTCTCATATTTATCCAAAATACAAAGGTTAATCATATCAGGTGCAACCCATTTTATGACAAGGCTTCAACTTACTACAAATGCAAGCTTGGCGTCTATTTTCGAAAAGTCAAGATACGAAAGGCTTACCCCAAAGAGACTTTGCAAGTAGGAGGAGGACAAACAACTTTGCATTTAGAAATGAAAGAATGAATACATTAAATAAGAAAGTGGAGATACATTTGGGTGCTATACAACTTCGGTCAAATTAATCCACTGCTACTGATCCTAAATAAGTTCTAATACAATACACTACCAGGCATACAAGTCATAATTCTTACAAATGCTACCAAATAAGGTGCATTGGTTTTGTAAGGGAATTGGAATACATGATTTGGAAACCTTAAGTCTATACAACTTCATACAGGGAAATCATCTCTAGTATCGCATGTGCCAATGTTGTTCTGTCAAATTGATGCGTTGAGTCCGT